ATTTTACAATTAAATTAAAACAGAAACTCCAGTGGAAATATCATCCAGTCAACGCTGGGAATGTGCATTTAATATGAATTTGACTGAACACATTATCAACGCTCTGTGACATTTAGAGAAATGAGTTTTTCTTAGTAAAGGAAGAAACTTTCTAATTTGACTTAAACAAGTTTAAGATATAAGAATTTTTTTTTTTAATTTTTAAATTTTTTTTTTCATTTATTATCACCATGCCCTTCTACGGTGATTAGGTAAATGTTATGATCTAACAGTCAGAGTCAGTTTGTTTCTTTTTTTAATTGATGTTAATTTAATTTGACAAATACATGTAAATAATAATTAAACTAATGATTTTGTGGAATTATTTTCTTAGTTATTTCCAATAAAATCCATTTTATTGTTAGATGTTCGATATAGTCAGTTTGGGATTAACAACGTTTCATTCATCACCTATGTCTCTCTCTCTCCCTCTCTCTCTCCCTCCGTGTCTTCCTGACTGATCTTTTCTCCCCCCTCACCGGAGTTTAAGTTATTTTTTGCCCTGATGACAGGTCCTCCATCTAGCTGTGTCCCCCCCCCCCCAAACAGTCGATTAAGGAGAACAGAGAGGACGTGAAGAATGAGTGACCTGGGAGGAAAGAAAAGTCCACCTGGGAAATAATTGCTTTTTATTTTTCTTGTCTCCTCTCTCCTCACCCTCACAGTCATGAATGTAGGGATCTGTGTGTGTATTCTCCTGGCTGCTCTGACCAGCGGCGCCCTGAGTCTGCCCTCACACTCCCTGGTAAGAAACACACACCCACACACACACACACACACACACACACCACGAGTAAGATCTACACCAATCAGTTTTAATGAATGTATATAATCCTAACCTTTCAAATGGCAAAACTGAAGAAAATATCTGTGTACTATAAATACTTCACTTGATGAAACTTGCTCCCACTCAGAGAAGTCAGTTTGACAGAGCCATATTTACAGCGTGAAGCCTCGGCTGGTTACGGTGAGAGGGAAAATGGAGGAGACAGATGAGGTGGGAGGAAAGAGGGAGAAAAGGAGTGAGGAGGTGGAGGGAGAGGAGAGGAGGAGGAGGAGGAGGAGCAGTACTCCAGTCGTACTGAAGGAGCATCAGGGTCAGGTTTTTGTGGTAGAACAGTGCACGATCGGCTCATTGATATTATCACATTTAGAACGACAGTTATGCCGATATCAATTTTAGTAGCACTTATGATGTCGGAAATGACAGCATAGTGTCCAGATTTGGTACTGCACCCCGGGAGTTAAGTATGATTTCAAAGTGAGAACAGAGAGAGACGAGTACGAGGAAAAGGTCAAAAGAAGAGTGCACTACGGGCGCGTCCCCAGCAGTCTAGGCCAACAGCAGACTAGGTTGCAGTGATGCAGTGGATTACCAGTAAAAGTGTTGCTTTCCTCTCCAGTCGGAGAAAGCTGAGGGTGAGGCTGTGATGTCGGACAGCCTACCTCCCCCATCGCCCAACCACACACGCCAAACTCGCTCAGCTGCAGCGCCCCCTTCAGAGCAGCTCTCCAACTACAACCAACGCCAGGACAACGCAGACCCTAGAAAAAGCCTGAGCCAGCTGCTGGCCCGACTGATCTCCAGGAAAGGTGAGCGGCTTCATGTTCAGCCCGACTCGAAGGTCCCCTGATTTCTCTGCTCCATAACCAGTCGTCCCTCGTGTTGTTCCTGAGTCTCACCGTATGATATCGCTCACCTTCCTCCCTCCCCCTGCTCCTCTAGCTCCTCCCTTTATGACCTACCTGCACATCCTTGTTTCCCCTCATCAGTAGTGTCACTTCTTCTCCTTCATCGAACTCCTTCCTAATTTATTACTCAAACCAATTTGTTTGTTAGCATTTGGTCAAGAAACTCAGCTCCTGTCTCTCCTCCTATCTCCCCCAGGCGCCCCCTACCAGACCAGATCCTCCCTCACAAGCAGAGCCAGCGCTCTGTCCCCAAGCCACCGGATAAAGGACAGAGATTATCACGGATGGATGGACTTTGGAAGACGCAGTGCAGAGGAGTACGAATACTCCTCCTAAGGGAGATATAGCCCCCGAAACAACCAATAAAAGCTCGGCAAAAATAATGAGCCCTTCTCACACTGCACTTATTGTAACCCAGGGCCGACGTGATCGTAGAAACAGTTTATCATCAAACAATAAACCCAGAGCAAAGTCATTTACCAAAAAGGGCACCACGCAATCAGTACATACCCCACAGCTGAAGTATTGACGTATTCCACGTTTCACAGAATGATGGTTAAACCTTAAATGTAACGGACGAGGCAGATAGTATTCTGTATTTTTGATATTGTCAGCAATTTCTATGAAAAGACCAAACCCTCCCCTTCCCCCCAAAAAAAATGTGTGTCGTGACGTCTGCGGCGCTCAGCTCTCCTGAACGCCTCCTGATTCAAACCAAACAGATAAACATGTTCCTTTTTTTGATTTCTGTACATTCATTTGTTGGAGTTGATTTTCAGCAGTGGATTGAAACAGAATCTGGTATTTACAGCTACAGTGTATATGTGTCAAAATAAAGTAGGAGATTTCACTCAAGTACAACAGCGTCTGGCTCATTCTTTGGATTGTGATCATCAGCCATGTACACAAACGCACCACAATATACACGTGTATTTTAACATGTACCATGGTCTCTGGGCTCTGTTGATAATTTAGCAGTTAGCACGTCTGCCTTGGTAGCAAACAACAGGTGGTCCTGGGTTTGGTTGCCTGATCCCGAGTGTGGGATCACTGAAGTTCAAATTATTATTGTTCATATATCAACCAGATTGTTGGGCCACATCTCAGCCTATTGATTGTGGTATTTAATAAACATTAGATGCCAGAGAGGAACCATGAAAGTCCCTATAAGTTAACATATAATAAAATTGTTGTCAAAACTCATTTAAGGTTCACAGATTCACAGAAGACACACTGTTTTACACTTCAAATCAGATTTTAAAAAAAAGACATGCAGCTTCAACAACACTGAAAAAACACATTAAAGTGGTCTTTCTCACAGACTAGTCTTTAGAACTAACAAACACAATTATTTGTAAGGGAATAAATATGTTTAACCAAAAACGAAAAATGTCTCATTTGACTAAGTTTGATTCCACATAATAATAATAATAATAATAATAATAATAATAATAATAATAATAATAATAATAATAATAATAATAATAATAATAATTCTACTTTAAATGACCTCATAACTGACTAAAATCTTGGCCTGTTTAGGTGAAGGCAATGCTGATCTACTGGCAGGAATTGAAGAAAGACACTCGCAAAGATCTTTTTCACCAGCTCTGATTATTGTTATTTTTTAGTTTCCATAGCCATCTGCTGCCACCTAGGAGAAGACTATTTAATTGTTCTGCCTTTCATGTGTTGACGAGCAAAGAAAAATTAGACGCAATAAATAAATAAATAATGGTGGTTGGGAATCAGTGCTGTGTGCTGTACAGTAGGAGTGAGACCGTATTACTGCAGCCAACTCCAAGTTTGTACAAGGAATAATTTACAACAATGAACTCAGAATTTGTACATCGCAGAAAGCAAATAAAAAATTGAGAATATTAAAAAGTCTCTGTGTGGAGTCTGCTGAAGAGCAGTTCTCATGGTAGAAGCTGAAGCTGAAGCTGACCCCAGGTTAAAGATGTCTGTTTTCAAAAGAAGAAGAAATGTTTAAAAAAAAAAAAAGAAGAAATGATGCAAAGAAAAAAAGTACGCCATCTATAATGAGACACTTGGGAGTCTTTTAAATGAACGCTTAAGAATATTTAAACCCAATCTCCAAACTCTGCTCATGGACAGATGATGATAATATAAATATGCTCTTTGAAAAGGTAAAAGTCTGAATCAAGAGCTTCTGCAAACTTCCACAGCAAATATTCATCTCTCTGACGTCAGCGAGACGTGTGCGTTTGTTTGGGGGATAATGATGCGATGAAGAGCGCGGGGCACAGATGGTCAGCTGATCCTGATCGCTTCATGAAGCCACTGCCAGGAAAGATCTGGCTGTGGTTCTTCTCTGTGTGAATCCTTTGAGCATTTGGTCAAATCCACACAGGCCACAACACTGGCTTGTTTTATATATATATATATATATTAATGCATACATACTGATCTGGACACACATGTATGAAGGTCTAATCCTGCCTCAGAGTCACACATACACAAATGTAACATTAGCAGCTTGTGTTGAGGCTCATTAGTCACTGCAACAGCTCCAAGCTTATACCAACCAGTCTCCTCCAAACTCAGAGGCCTGTATATGAACTGTATCAATAAAATATGAAGTGTATCCATAGGACTAACTTAACAAAGTACGATTAGTTTTAATCCTTAAATAATTCAGTTAAGCAGAATATGACTTCTGATCCAATTTAGAGAAAAATAGATGATAAAACAATTCACAAAAAAGGAGACGGCTATTTGTCTTGTGTCTTGTATTTTAATATTTTCAAATATTTGTATTATATTTTTATCATTACTATATTTTACTTTGTTTTTATTGAGTCTGTTACTCCTATGTTTTTCAGTGATAAACGTGACAATAATAACCAGTGTGGGATTAAAAAGTCAATAATTTAATCTAATCTAATCTAATTTAATCTCACAGAAAGAGCAAAAAATAACAATAACAAAAATTTCTTTACGTTGATTTTTTTTTGTTATATTTTTTATATTAACTACCTAGTTCCCTTCTTATAAAGTTGCTTCAGTAACCATCCTAGTCACTTCTGGAACTTTCCTTTCTCAACCAAAGTTTGCAGCAGAAGAGTTCACTTTGAGCATTTTTAATATATATATATACACATGTGTGTATATATATATATATATATTACAGGTTGAAAGAAAGCGGAAACAGCAACTGCGATCAACAGCTCCCATTGGGAATACAAAATATAATTATAAACAAGGCTAATCTCAGATGAAAATGATTGATATAGTTGAACTACCTTTGTCTTATGAGTAGACAGAGAAGGTTGTAATCTCCCATTGATAAATGGGAGATTAAACTTATCATTTTTTAACTCCAGGTGACACAGGATCTTTGGGTCGACTGCTGCCTAACTTTGCAATTCCAGGCCATTCAAATAAATCCACTCAAAATTTTTCAGAAAATACAATATCGTATTTAGTCATCTTAGCAATTGTGCGTCAAAAACTACTTCAACTACATGAAAAAAACAAACAAAAATCCCTGTTTCATGCTATAAAAGGTTGAGCTGTTTTCTTGTGTTTCTAAAACCCAAACATATGTTTCCTTATCAGTAGATAAAGAAAAATACTGTGTTAAACAAGTGAAGTTGAAGTAATGGTACGGACCATGGTTCTTCCTGACTTTCATATCTGGAGGCTGAAAGTACATAGATACCACTGTTTTGCACAAACAAAACAAGCCAACGAGATACACACTGCAGCTCAGGTGTGTGTGTGTGTGTGTGTTAATGTGGTTCTGTTCTCCTTTCTGATGCAAACAATAGTGATGTTTGCCGTTCGTCCTTCAGAGAGGCTCTGACACAAAGAGTTCACGTGGCTCTTATTTACACTCGCTGCCTTTATAGCAACAATATCAACACAAAAAATATTCTAATTTAATGTCAGTGATTTTTAGGTTCATGATTTCAAACAGTGACAGAGCAGCAGCACAGATGTTACCACAAAGATGGTTCAGTAAGAGTGCTAACTTCAACATGTGAACTAATGCTAAATAAACAAAACAAGAAAAGCTCTTTAAAGGTTTTATGTTCAGTAAATCATCACTGACGTTTAATATTCTTGGCTCTTTGCTGCACCCTCGTGGACATGACAAGAAAAACACACTCTATGTAGAGACCATGTTTCTCATATATGGCGGTGTCACAGCGGTATATATTATTATTTATATTAACAGGACTGGATAGAACAGATGGTAATAATTTCGACTTTTTGTCTACAACACAGCTACAGCATAAAAAGACTAAAACACAGATCATGGATCAGAGGGTTATACTCCAGATAAAAAAATATTTTATTAATTAATTACCACTTTTCTTTCTTTTGAAACCAAAAACTCAACCTGTGCCTATGCGACACCTTAAAGCCAACTGAAGTATGGTAAGAAATGAGACGATTTATGATCAAAAAGTATTCACCAAAAAAATTAGAAATGTCTTTTAATTGCACTTGGTCTAAAATCCCTACAATATTTGAATGATTCATAAAAAGTGAAGCTTGTAATTATGAAAGAAAGTACAAATACAAGTACTAATGATAATTTGTGATATTTAATGAACGTTTATTACTTTATCTAAAACACGTTGATTGCCATCGTCGTGCGCAACCTTACGTTACGAGACATGAAGGTACACACAGACATTATTGTTCGAAGCAGCAGCAAACCGACACCAAACATTCACAAAATTAAAACATCCAATCAGGTATAAAGTTTTCCACAGCGTTTCAGTTTGGGAACACTGACGATCCCTGTTCACCCAGTATTAAGCCATAGTGTTAGAAAGTGCTTGAAGCCATGAAGTTTCTCAGAGTGAAGATCTCATTCATGTTGTTTTCATTGTTTGACACGATGTTTATCAGTTCTCTTTTCACCTACTACTACTTGACACAGCTTCAAAGTGCAACAAAAATACCAACCCAGACTGACAAATATATCAATCAAATATATTTGTACAGTGAACATGTACAAGCATCCACACAGCGCAACACTCGCCCACATATTTACATTAAAGGGCCGACCAACCCTGACTGTCCATTAAAATATTATCTATGACACTGAAGCAACATTAGGTGCTTTATAAAAAAAAAAGAAACTTATCAACATTACTATTATTATTATTTTATATTATTATTACATAGAAGACATGACTGGAGATGGCACACTCTTTACTAACATGTCGGTTTAATCTCCTAACTCTAGTGCATTTTACTGGCTGGTTCAGGAAACAGAGGGAGATGAAATAATAATAATAAAAAAGGCGCATTTAAAGGGACTCACTTTGAACAGATTTGTTTACGATGATAAATCCACTCTGCATTTCGCAAACAGCTTAAATTATTGCTCGAGATTGGACTGAGCTGAAAGATTTCCCTAAAACCCGTCTCCAGTCAGGACGTGGGCTGAAGACTAACTGCAGCTCCTGCTCTACCAGACGCCGCCTGGTTAAATGCTGGTCACTAGAATCAACACAACGGACGCCAACCCACGTCGACCAAAGACAGAAGTCCGTTCTGCTCTCATTGTTGTGCGTTAATCTTTTTTTTTTTTAACTATTACATAGTAAATACTATATATATATACATATCCAGAGATTTAAATGAATAAAGTCGACAAACAGGAGGCAGAAATAAAGGGTTAGAGATGAAGATGAGGTTTTTCAGAGGGATCAGAGATGATGTTTCCGTTTACTAGTATTATATTTCTTTTCTAGACTTAGCAGTAGAAATCTGATGTATTTACGTCATGAACTACAGTATATTTCTATAACCGTCACAGCGACTCCACACCAAGTGCTAGAGAGACTCTTTAAAAAGCAACACAGTCTTTGGTCACTAGTCAAGAAGAAACACGTTCTTTTAAGTACCATCACATGTCAATAGTAGTTGAATATTTTATGCGTACACAACATTCAATAGTAGTTGAATATTTTATGCGTATAACATTTTTTCCACATGGTTGAGGTCGTACCATTGGCTAATGTGACAGTTTGGCTTCTGGGCTTGATTTTTTTTTTTTATGGTTTGGTTTGGAAGAGTATCATATTGGGAATTATTGATTATTTACACATTCAGTCACATTCAAATGTTGAGATATTCATGTAAAAACAAGGTCAAAATACTGACCTGGACTAAAGGAAATCGGAAAGGAACAGGAAATGTGTGTATATTGTTGAATGTTTGTGTGTGTGTGTGTGTGTGTGTGTGTTTCAGTGGAACCGTCCCATGGCCTCAGCAGCTTTTCGTCTCACCACTGGATCAGGATCCTGCAGCAACATGACTAGACCTGTGCAACACAAACACACAGTCATTAAAACAGTCAGGAACTGACGGCTGAAATCTTCCACTGAATGTGATGCAACGTGAAGTAAGAAGCTGTGAGAGGAAAAAAAAGCAGAAGTTTATTTCAATCACCTTTAGTCACCGTGCCCATGTTCAGATGTGAGAAATGCTCCTCTGGAAGGTTCCCCAGCAGAAACCCTGACAACACACATTAACCACCAGGTGGCACATTATTCAACACATTTGAGTTTAATTGTTTGGGTTTAATTTCACTGATGTAAAGGTGTGACCAAAAGATTTAAAGTGGTTTCACTCCTCGGTGCCTCACCTATAAACATGGCAGCTCCTGCTCTGACTCCAGGCCAGTTGCTCTTAAAGAACTGAATGACTGAGATGTGGTAGAAGTTCAACATGCTGGGAAAGTCCTGGATCTACAGCACAACAACATGTTCACAAAGGTTTCCATACAAAAAAGATAACGTTAATGCTCCTTAACCAAAACTGGAACTGGTTCATACACTAAAAAACAGAACTTCATAAATTGATAAACTTGTGAAAGTGAAGTTCCAGTTCCTCTTTCTGTCTAATTTAGTAGTATATGTTGAAAACGTTCAGCACAAATAATATTAAATAAATTAGTAATAATAAATAAAATAATAATAAATAAATTAGTAATAATAAATATAATAATAATGATAAATAAAATAAAAATAATAATAACAATAATAATAAATAAATTAGTAATAATAAATACATTAGTAATTAAAAATATTATAAAATAATAATTATTTTATTATTATTAATTAATTTAATATTAATACAATATTAATATTAAATTAATTAATAATAATAAAATAATAATTTAATAATAAATTAAATAAAAATAATTATAAATCATAAATAATAAATTCTGTAACCAAAGATTAGATGTGCAGTCAACGTGGTTCTGTAGTGAAGTTGTGTCTCACCAGGTACTTGGTGAGATCATTGATGAATTCTCCGTAGTGTAAACTCTTGTCGTCGTGCAGGTGGGTCTGAAACATGGTGGTGATCTGCTCTGATCCCACCACAGGAGCACAGACGCGCATCGCGTACTTGCAAGCCTGCAAACACAATTGAAATACTGCAGTTGGTAATTTATCACATTTCTGAATACTGCGTTCATGTGAGTAAAAGTTTAAAATTTATCACATTTCTGAATACTGCGTTAATGAGTAAAAGTCGACGTTACCTTAACCACATGGGGGTTGGGGTCCACCAGGTGGAGCAGCAGACTGACCAGAACATTGTGGATCTGGTCTTTGAAGACTTGTTCTCCTGAACCAAACTTAGACAGGTTTCCCATCAGGTGGATGGAAGCACAGCGGATCTCATCGTTGTCCTGGATAAAGATTCAAAAACACAGGAAGATGAAGCTCCTCAGAGAATCACTCACTGTATCCTGGAACGACAGGTCTGTAAACATCAGTCTACACAGAGAATCTGTGGCCAGAAATACACAGATTTATAGATTTTAACATTTGTACTATTAGTCATCACCTCTGCCCCTTTATTTATTCCTATCTTAGTAGTAAAACAGAACAGAAAACATCATATAAATGTGAACAGGAACATTAAGGATTAATGACAAAGATTAAAGACAACTTTACTAACCCGAGCTGCACTTTAGAACCTGCACAGAAAAATAAACTATAAACTGTGACAAATGTATTATCACAAACCAGAACATTTATTATTCCAGGACCTTTAAACTAAAAACATAAATAAATACATCACAATAAAAAACTGACATTAAAAGAAAAACTCACACTTTCCAAGAATGGTTTAATCTTCATAAAGATGTAAACAACCAGTAGATGGACGTTCTTCTTGTCCAGGTAGAAGAGAACTTTGGACAGACCGGACATGGCTTCAAGTGTAATCAGTTTACCTACAAAAGAGGACGAAAAAGAACTTCAACCTGTGAAGGTTCTGGACCAGGATCCTTCATTTATAATCAGTCACATCAACAACAATTGTTAATAGACAATAGCAGCTAATTTCATCACGACACAGATCATAAAGTCGTCTGTGGTCACTGACCTGGATCGTCCCTCTCCTCCATGCCTGAACTCATGGCCGCCAGAAGCTCCTTTGCATATTTATTCACCTGATGGAAAAAGAGAGACTGAAGCAACAGCAACTCACAGAGGAACATGAAGTCTGTTCCACTTCTCTCTCTGTGCGGTCTTACCTTTTCAGGAGATCCCGATGCGATATTTCCCAGCCCTCGAACAGCCAACATGCGGACGGTGCAGCTGGGATCTGAAATCCTCTCCATCATGTTGTTCATTAGAACGTCGATCAGCATCAGCTCCGTCACCACGTGATGGTTCAAAAGCTGGGACGGACAAATTTGTTATTCATATTTCTTATGACACCATAAAACGATTAACGATCATTTAAGAAAATAAAATAATTGAACAGCTTCATCACCTCAGAGAAAAACGCAGTTACAGTTATTCTCTGACATTCATAGATGTTGTTCAAGGAGGGACACAGACACTCCACCATGGCAGGCAACCTGGGACCCGCATGTTTAGCCACTGCCCTGTGGACAATCAAAAAATACACAATGATTTTTTCAGACTTTTCTTCAAACTAAAATCTTATATTTTTCCAAATTTAAACACAATTCACAAAAAACACTTCTACCTCTTAATATAATCTTGTTTTCTTATGGTTTAACCTTATATGGTAATAACTGAGTTTAAAGCTGAATCAACATTTAAATCCTTCAATTAAAAAAAAATATTAATGAGGTTTTTTTTTATTTTTAAATTTTTAAATTATAAATTGCAGTGCAAATACTGAGAAAAATTGAATATAGACATCGATAAAAAAACTTGCTGTATATGTCAAAACTTACTACAGGGTCTCTGGTCTCACAGGTCTTATGATGCACAGGAAATTTAACTACTGTATATAGGCGTGTGTATCTACCTTGCTAGTAGCGTAATCCCACTAACATGTGCGTTGGGTTCTCTCATTGCGTCCCAGGCGTTATCTTCGTCCATACGTTTGATGACTTCGTCCAACTGGGCTCGTGCTAACAGGATTCTGAGAGCATCAGCTGCCACTCTGGAGCAACACAAAGACATATACGATCAAACCAAAGCGGTTTTAATAATAATAAAAAAAGATCTACACTGACTGGTTATAGAAAGGTAAAGACGCCCCACCCTGCTACATGGATAGTGGTGTGTTTGTTGTTGTTGTCTCTGGGTGCAGAGACTCCCACACTGGCTCCCACTCTGATGATGAGACAGGAGAAGAGCTGAGGAAACAAACCCATGGCCGGGTCCTGACTCTGACCGTTTAACAACAGCTCTTTGAGTCCGCACGTCATCTGGAAACATGACAGCACAGCATCAAACATCAAACACATTCTGTCATTTGTGTTGGTTTAACAGCTGTTGTAAACAAAATATAACAAACCAAAAATATAAAGTCAATCGATCAAAATATAACATCCTGTTTTTTCTTCTTGTTAAATGAACATGAATGTTAAAATGTCTCTTAGTTTTGGGTCACTAGATTGAAACGGGTTTAAATAAAGTATCAGGACGGTACTGCTACTTTATTAGTATTAGTATTTATTTATCTGCAGTAAGTAACTGTAGAAAATAAAACATGTAGAAATATCTGTGTGGTCAGTAAAAGTCTGGAAGATTCTGAGACTCACAGCCAGTGGTATATTTGTGGCCACCTTTGTCGTCCCTCCTCTGAGCATGTTCTCCTTCTTGTCTACATAAGGTGCCATGATGGTAAGTTTCTCCATCACCATCTCTATGATCTGATTGGCCACTATGGGATCCGAGCCCAGGGCCATCCACATCTCACCGATCCAGCTGAGGGACAGAGAAGGACCGACAGAAATATTTCAGTTTTTAAACCGTACTCAAACAACAACTTAAACATATATTTATCCACACAGGTACACATATTTCATACATACTTGTCATAAGGAAGTGGTTGGTTAACGAGTGTATTGATGACAGTCTGTAGATGCTGAGACGCCAGAATTAACACAGTCTGTCCGACGGCCACTCTCACCTACACACAGACAGGAACACTGACTTTACCTGGTTATAAATAAAATGTCCTTGGTAAAAAAATAACCAGTTATGTCAAAAAAAAGGTTTTCTGATTTTAGAATCTAGAACATCTAAAAATGATATTTATTACATCTGATTCATGCTGAGAGCTTTTTGCAATTTCTTGCAAATAAATTAATTTTGGAGGAAATTCTTTATTTGAAAGGAAACCATTTCGTCCATTTTCCCAAGTGTATTTTGACTAATCCTAAAAAAGAGCAAAGAGCTGAAACTTCTAAAATATGTTCCAAAAAAGTCTGTTTAGGTTTAAACGCTGTATTATAGAAATAAAACCCACCAAAGAAAAGTCAAATACAGATTTAGAGAAACATCATGTCTACAGTAGACGGACTCTGACCTGCTCGTCTGTGACGTTCTGAAGACGCACGTGAAGAACCTCCAGCATCTCTGGTACCTAACACAAAGAAAACCATAGACTGTAGTTTTTTTAAATGCGCTAATGCTACGTCAATGCATACGGTGCGTCTCTGGCTTAAGACATCTGAGTGTAATTGGTACCAGTTCCTGCAGGCCGGCTCCTCTGCTCTTCAGCATGGTGTTTAGAATGACAGAGGAAGATCTGCAGCAGTTGGTCTGACTGTCGATCAGCCCCTCAAACAACATGAAGACCAACGTCGTCAGCTGCTGCTGAGGCAGACGTTTACTCATCACCTGACAGAAACAGAAAGAACACACGAGTTGACTCAGATACATGATAGTAACATTGATATTGGTCTAACCAGAAAATGAATGATGAGCATCAAGAGGCACCTTGGTGAGATCTGAGCATGTGGTGTAGAGAACCGAGTGATCAGGGTTTTCCAGCTTGTCTTTTAATAGTAGTAAACTCTCAACGTACTCGTCCTTATAATCCAGTGCAAAACCTGTGAAACATTAGTAAAACATAATAAAAAAAATGATCTCTGATCTGAGTCTTTAGGTTGACGCGAGGACAGATATAAATCGAGCTGTTCGGGCACCTTCGTATCGTAGCTGTATATAAAGCAGGGTGAATACACAGTCAATAGCAGCAGTGCCTACAGCGGGGTTCGGGTCAGAACATCGGGGAGAGATTCGACCCAGCAGAGCTCCTAAGTTGTGGAAGGACACCATGTTCTGGACAAATGAAACAAAAAAGAAAAATAGTTTCCTTCAACAACAAGTGGAGTTTATGTTTTCATTAGATCTGGGGATTTAATAATAAATGAGACCTTTAATTTTTACCTTAACAGTCAGGTTGTCCAGGTAGAACCACAGTATGTGAGCAGTCACACTGATGGCTCGCTCTCTCTCGTGCTCCTTTCCTGAGCTCAACCACGACTCAATGTGCTGCAGACAGAAATACAAATTAAGATCATTTAAAAAAAAAAACATGAACACGAGCTCAACCACGACTCAATGTGCTGCACACAGAAATACAAATTAAGATCATTTTATAAAAACACGAACATCTGGAAGTAAAATATTTATCTGACGGTGAATTTCATTGGACCCAACATCAAACCTCACCTTGAAAACATTCTGCAGACCATCAGGTGTGGAGTCTTTGGCCAGGACACTCTTCAGGAGCTCCTGCAGTGCAGCCATGGTGTCGCTGTACAATAACTGCATCGATTTAAAACAATGTCAACAATTTCAGAACAACTGGCTGCACGAGAAAATGTGAACGGCAGGAGAAAATACACCTGACACGGAATTTGTTATTTGACCTTTCTCTTCTTAGGGTCTAGTACGTCATCTTCTTTGGTTTTCTCCGGAGTGTGTGTGTCGGGCGGCAGCGAGAACACACTGTTCACACACACCTTTAATAGGTCAAAGCTTTCGTTCTCACTCAGTGCAGGCTCCAGATGTCTGGTCAGTTTTAGGTTAAAGGATCTTTTTTTTTTGGTGTGACATAATCATATCGTGATCATGTGATCAAACCATGTACTTGGTGTGACATAATCATATCGTGATCAAACCATGTACGGAAACAGTCAGAGGCAATTCTTACTAACGACCCCAGTAGTTATATTAAAACTGTGATAAAGAGATTTAAATAAATCATTTAAAAAATCCTGTTGGATAAAATGAAGTAAAGGATACATTAAATTGGCACAAGTGGTCATCACAAGGTGGCGTACTGGAGATCGTAGTGAATCAGCTGGTTCAGCTTTAATGAAATCCTGTAGAGTTGACAAAAAAATATATATATATTTTTTATCGCTTTTGAAATAAACATTTGGAAAAAACAATCTGACTGATGATGTAAAATACAACAGAAGACAACATTATGACCTCCCCTTAAATGTAATGTTTTTTAAACCATATATTTATCTCCTAACTAATGTGTACTACAACTTCAGTCCCTGAGGTGAAGATACTGACCTAGAAAATGTTTAGATACTGACTTTTTCACAAAATTGATGAAAAAATATATTGTAGCGTTGTGTCTAAATAAAGCCAGTAGTAGTTTATTTGTTTGTACAACAGTACTGGAGAGCTTCGATTTCTTAGGTAAATAGTTTTGTCTTCCAGTGTAGATTACACTCTTTTATTTATTCATTTATTTATATATTCACATACATACCATCATGAGGTTGATAAGCTCTTGTTTTCGGGAGAAAACGTAACCTTGTTTCTTCACGCACTCACTGATGGCTTTGGCAATCAGGCCAACACTCTGAATCAAACTGAGTTTCATAGTCAGGTCCTGGATTCAAATCACACACACACACACACACACAGAGACAGATTTAGAAAAAAAAAATCCCACTAGAATCAAACCCAGGAAATATAAGATATACACAGATATAAAGATTTGGGCCAAGAGGAAAAGTAGGCTCAACGTGAATGAAATTGGATAATTGCATCTTCCAATTTATCCGGAATGCAAACAAGAAAACAGCACAGCAGCTCAGTTATCAGATGCAACTCTTTAAAGAGCGCGGCAGAAGCAAAAACAAACCAAAATCATTGCAGTCAATCAATGCACTCATGTCTTTTGATCAAATCAATCCCACAGTGTTGTGGCACATTGATCTTCCTCCATGCCTCTGGGTGGAGACATGTTAGAAGTTAGAGATTTGTGATTAGACAGTGATTATATTTTCACAACAAACCACCAGCAGCATCCATCCTCTAGACAGAGTAGTAGCAGAGGTAGCTGAAAACCTAGAGACATGAAGCGCTGTTAGAGTAAAAACTTAAAAAATCCAATTTCCTTTCACACTGCGGGTGAAGTTTTCTGTGAGTGTTCAAAGCATTCTTTCACCAGAAAGACAGACAAAACTTAAGTCCAGTGCAAAAATTCTGATACAGAAAAAACAACAAATTACATCAGATAAAGAGGTGGGAAAATATTAAGTAGCCTATATCAGGTTTGTTTACAGCTGACTGGATTTCTGTCTGGTTCAATTTGAAGATAATTTCCACATTTGACTTAACAAATCTGTATTTGGTTACTGAGAATTATTTATTAATATTAAAAAGTGAGGAAGAAAAGCCAGAGCCAAGTTAGGAAAGTTGACCAGCAGGTCAGAGGGTGGAGGTAGAATAGAGAGCCCACATAATCCTGTGATGATACCTTTGTCTCTACTTTTATCCCCAGAACCTGTATAAAATAGAGGTGACAAAATCATGAGCTCAAACACAGACACAGACAGTGCTGACTTTATTATTATGCGTTTTATGCGACGCTCCTGTAAAAACATTACACATGTAGATTATGATGTAACTCATAATATGATGTAATGACAGACACCAGTGCAGTCCTGCTGTTGTAACTTTTACCTTGGTATTGAAGTGTTTGCTGATGCAGCGGAGAATGTCTTGATCAATGCGGTTCAGTATCTTATCCTGGGGGGCATTCAGAGCCACCTGACCATAGCACAGAATTAATGTGCTCTTCACTTTCTCCACCTCGACCTCGTTACGCTCCTAGGTCCAAAAGAAAAAAAAGAGAGAGATTAAAAGAAAGCTTAAAAACCCTTGACATGAGCAAAAAAATATAAAAGAGGAAACTTTAAAAAAAAGTACTTTGAGCAGGTTGAAAATGCTTGGTGACTTCTTGAAGGCGTCCGATTTGCCAAACTCGTCCAACTTCGCCAGGGTTCCCTCCAGGTGGCTGTTAGCACACAGACCCACGCCCATAGCAACTCCCTGAGAAAACAAGAATGATCCTCACACTTCACAATAACCCACAACAGTTTTTCCATCAGCAACATTTCTGTAAAGTTCCCCAGAACAGTACCTCTCTTTCCACCGCATCATTATGTCGGGCACTGAGCAGGACTTCCTGCAGCTGTTTTTTCACCACCTCCTTATTAAAACACTGCTGTAGTGTCACTCCTATACAGCGGTACAGGAAACTCTGTGGTGAACAGGAATGAGCAATACCAGGGTTAAATACGCAGAACATCACTATTCTATAATATCACTCTCATGCAGAGTGTACTGCTGGTGATCAGCTGACTTTTGTTCCTGTATTAAATCAGGTTGTTCGAGGAACTTACCTTCTCCTCTAAGGCGTTATTGTATGTGGAGAGATACTGTGTTGCCTCTGCTGCCAACCGACAAACCCACTTGTCATTATCGATCGTTGCCAGGGTTTTAGACAAGAACTGGACATCAGATAAAACACATTAAAGGGTTGAAAAGACAAACGGTTTGGACTATAAAACAGGACGAGACTATTATATTATTCATTATAAAACTGTAACCTTGAGGAGCTTCTCATCCCAAAGATTCTTAATCAAGGTCTGCGGCGTTGACTCTGCACAAATAAAAAGAATGAGTAAAACAAAAAAAGCCAGAGGATCACAATAACTTGGATGCCAACCTACAGCATTACTGACACTGTAGACAACATACCTTCAAGTACACTGATCAGAGGTGGGATCTCTTTCTCCCACAGTATGTCTGTATTCGGGTGAATGTTAGTGCTTAGTATTTGGAGAAGAGAGAGCGACGGCACTCCGTGACCTCTGCTACCGAATGGAAACGCTGCGTTTACCTGCAACCACACACAGGAACACACCACACGAAATTTAGCATTTAACTCTTTTTTTCCCCTTTGTGTAGACTACATTTATTGTCAATATAGACATCAGCCTTTGTTTTTAGTGTGCGATACTTACCAACAGTCTGATCATTAGTGTCTGAGGAGAGGGCAGATTGACTGCAGAAGAGACAGTGGACACGCTGTAATGTCAAGACGCCACTTGTGATCCGAAAACAAAAGACAGCGCCACAGATTTAAATGAGCTTTTCTACCTTCTTTGGTGAAGTCTATGGTGAAGCTGGGCTCCTGGTTTTGTTTCTTCTTGTTGCCCAGAACTATCAGACTCTTACACAGAGGAGTGGTGGCGTTACTGTACTGAGGTGGGGTCAGGTAGTGCAGCAGCTTAGGCCACAGCACCTACCAACCACAGAATACACACATGTTAATTATAGTGGGTTAATTATGCTATTAATACTTTAGCATTTTATATTAAAATCGGACATCAAGAGGTTTAACCATTAACCATTTACATGTAAATTAATAATATGGACGCAACATCAGTGCTGTTGTTCATGAGTAAGGATGATGTTCAGTTCATATTCATTTGCTGACCAAAATAACCCTCTCCCTCTCTCTCTCTCTCTCTCTCACTGCTACCATTTTTATAAAGGTTAATTATGCTATTAATACTTTAGCAAGGGATAATTGTCATTCACAGAGCACATATGAATTAATAATATGGACGCAACAACAGCACGCGTACATCAGCTAGACGTCCAACGGTGGTAGTCAACAGATGCAGGGTGCTGTCGCACATCGACCTCAGAGCCTCATTCGTCACCTCCTCTGGATCCGTGGGCCTGTCCTCACGCTGAACACAATCAGAAGACTCTCTCTCTCTCTCTCTCTCTCTCTCTCACTGCTACCATTTTTATAAATACAACAAGGACACCACACACGTCACCTGGTATGTGTCAGGTAAGGCACAGTGTTGAACTATGAACCGAACGAGCAACTCCCCTCCTTCCAACTCTAGATAACCATGGTGAGCCATGGCACTGATCACCTGGACAACACGCTTCTTCACCTGGGAGACAGAGACACGGAGTCAAACTGGGAGCATGTGATTGGATATTGGACTGTTAAAATAAAATAAAATAAAAAATAAAACACTTCTCCTATTATAAAAAAGATATCAAAAAAACATTTATTTAAAAGCGGTGTGGATGTACACGGGTGTTACCTTGTTGCTGTGGTCGGCCATTGGTTGTCTGATGCTGGCAAGAATCAACAACTTCTTACTCTCCATTGTAGAAGCTGCAGCACAAATCAACCCTTATTGTCTTAGGGTAGTTTTACGACCTAAAGGAAAAATGTGTTCATGACATAATGTGTGTGTGTGTGTCTTCTTCTTCTTACTGGTGGAGTTGATGAGATGGCGGAGGACAGCCAGAGAGCCCGCCCGGCTCCGCTCATTGCTGTTCTCCAACTTCTGAAGTACAAACATCACCAACTTGTCCGGGAAGGAGTTCGCTGAAGAGAGTGGAGTAGAAGCAGAAGTTAACCAAACGTCTCAGTTAATGTGATTTTGATGGATGATCTAATTATTGATCTTGTGACTCCACATAAGCCACAATAAACAGTAAGGTCTTGATGCTGTTGAGCAACACTTACAGCCAAATACAGAGGTTATCACGTTACAGTGGGACCTTCTCGTGTTACAGTCGAGCATTAAGAGTATTTACAAAAGGAGGTTAACACAAAGACGTTGTTACCGAGTAAACTGAAGCAGCGCAGGACCTCGTTGTGGTTCTTGACAGTGGGGGGGTTACTGTAGTCGATGGGGGCAGAAGCCTGGTGAGAAAAATAAATAAACAAAAATGACGGCTTCTTTAGCTGTTGTTTTCAACTTGTGCCCAGTCAGACATTAATTGGAACATTGTAACATCTGACTGAAACTAACCATAGAGTCCCGAGAACAAACAGATATTATTGACAGCTTCCTTGTGGTCAGATCTTGCAACAGTCAGGGCATAAACCGAAAAAAAGTATCAGCTGACTCACACGGAAATGACTTCTGACAACAGAGATCTTCTGACAGTCATTTGACAAAAGAAAGTGACTCAAAGTAAAAGTCCACCCTAAATAAATAACTCAATCTTCCTCTCTATAAATTCAGTCTTTAGGCTTTGATGACATGAGTCGTTCTCTCACTGATCAGGAAGTCGGATACAACCGAGTCATGTGACAGGCAGCGCTACACAGATTAATGGGAACAAGCAAACGTCAGTAGTCACATTAGTTAGATCCAGGCACAGCAACTGGGCAGCACTGGTCAGCCGGTACTTCAGGACAGTTTATTGTGGTAGTATCTGTGGTACTGTATTACTCTTTATATGTAGAGATGAAGCTTTTGTACGTTTGATGTAGCATCAAATTAGACGTCATACACATTTAAATGACTTGTTTTACTTTCCATTTCTTTTAACATAACAGAAGGTGTCAATAAAAAAAAAACAGGTTTCCATTTCTTTTAACATAACAGAAGGCGTCAATAAAAAAATTGAGAAAATATTTGAATCACATCACTGACTCTTAGTAATGTTCACCTGTTGATGCAGCGCTAAGAGCAGATTGTCCAGTTGTGTCTCCAATATCCTGCTGCCCATGTTGACAGACGCATCAAGCACTTGGCAAAGACTCTGTGGAGACAGAAAATATATATATTATTTACATTGTATTTTTAAAAACAATTACAAAGTAAAGAAGTCAACAAAGTCCAAATTATGGATTTGAAAATTACAGGTTATATTTTGTACTAGAGTGACTTCATGACCGGACAAACCTTGCTAATGATGTAGTGCTCAGTGGTTTTCTTGTAAAGGGACAGGAAGACGGGAATGAGTTTTGGAAGTTGCTCTTCCAGTTTTTCCCCGGCCATCAGATGGCACATGGAGCCTATGGCCTCAGCCACTGTTAGCCTTAACTAGAACACAAATACAATGACACAATGTTATGTGACAAACAGATCGAGATGATTCAAGAAGATACTGTATGTCTGTTTGACATATTGAAGGGTTTCCAATTCATGAAAATACAAGCGTTCCTTATGTCAAACAGCCATTATTGACATGTTTGTATTCAAAAGATAACAGATTTACAAATGATTCAAGAAGATACTGTATGTCTGTATGACATAATGAAGGGAAATTCATGGTTTCCATCCATCCATCCAACTTCAAATATTGAAAAACCTACAAACACGACCATTTCATCCCAACACAATGAAGCAATGTTTCAGTTAACAGTTTGCCACAGCACATCACTTAACCCCGTTAGAGCCGACCCCTGTGACCCTACCTTGGACTCTCTGCTTTGTAACCAATTATTAAAGAGGATTTCATAAGCGGCATAGATTTCAGCGGAGAAGGTGTCTTTCCTGACTGTAGGATCCGGTGCCTTGTCCAGATTGGCCAGGTATTCAAGTATACTGTCACTGAAATGACGTAGAGCTGAAAAAGGAGGGACATAAAATAAATAAATACAGTATAATCACAAAACAACATAGGGTTTTGGCAAAATTATTTATTTTAGAAAATTAATTTTGTAAAATAAAATCTAATTCTGAATGACAAATCCTTCCTACCAGAAGAGAAGACCCACTTCATGTTGTCCTGTTTGGCCATGGACAACATGGGCAACATGGTGCCAAGTATGGCATTCAAAAAAGGGACCATGCCATAGACTAGAGAACAGAGAGAACAATGCAACATTATTAAAGCACATCATTTACCACATCCTTATGTGTAACAACAGGATGAACAGAGAGAGGAACTTTTTGACGCACAATAAAAAACAACTTTGTGAGTACATTTTACTATCTAGGCAAAAAAGGATAAAGTTTTGAAAATTCAAATGAAAACATATCAAAAGTAATTAATAATTTATAGTTGCTACAGCTTTAAGTTTTTCTTGCAAATGAAAACATATCAAAAGTAATTAAGAATTTATAGTTATTACAGCTTTAATTTGTTTCTGAAGCCTCGAAACTATAAAGTTTTCTAAAGATATGCATAGCTATTTTGTTATTTAAATTCCTATCATGGACTTAAACAATACAAAGAATCACACACTAATTTCAGCTATTCTGTAAAAACTATGTGAGTGTGTGAGTGTGAGTGTTAGATTCACATTTGTGAAGACAAATATCTCACCATTTGAATCAGAAAGGTTGGCCAATGTTTGGACGACAAAAAAGTGAGGCAGGACCCCTGGTTGAAACTTGTTTAATATTTCCTCCATGACGTCGTTGATGTGCTTGTTACCCACGGCAACCAGGATATTACTGGCTGCTTGCTGCCAGTCAGGGATAACCTCCTAAAGTAGAAAAGAATGTCATTGATCACCTCTGCCTTGACACACATCAAATATAAAACCCTATTATTATTATTATTATTATTATTATTATTATTATTTTACTTTTGTTCGTGTCATCTCATCTGAGGCTAAAGAGATGATGCTTTTGATTCTGGGTGAACTGATGTCTTCTGTCCTGTAGTCTGCAACCAGCTCGATAGTCTGAAGAATCACAACTCGGTGGCTTACAAGCAGCTGGAGGGAAACAAAGAATTTACTACATTCATTTCAAACACAGGGCACAACAGTTGCATTTAATGAGATTATTTTACTTGGCATTCAGACCGACATATGCATAATTAAAAATGTCGATGAACATAAATAGCGTGTCAAAAAAAAAAGAAAAAACAAGTGAAAACAAATCTACTGTGTGAAAGACATTTTCTTCAGTGCTGTGATGATCACATGCTCATGGCCTGTGACCATCGCTGTATTGCATTAAGATAAGCTAATTATAAGAACAGGAAAAGCAGGAAGTGTACAAGCTGTTCATTCCTTAATCAATCAATGAATGACGGAGGACATCAACCTTGTGTAAAAACACAATTTGAACTAACGTTTCAATAATTAACGGAACTTGAATTTACAACTAACTTAAGTTGTTCTAAAATTAACAATACAAGTGAATAGGTAATTAGCTTACTGTGTAAATCCTGTGTAAATATAGAGATGCTTTCATTTGCATGTTTTTATTGTGGAGTAAATATTTTTTTAGTGTGTGACCAGAGGCTTAAAGTCTACAATATACACATAGCGTTTCCATTGTTCACAAGTTCAAAGTACAGAGGACATCTCCTGAAGCTTTCTCTGAGAGTGTGAATAACAATATCACATGGTATGACAAAAGCATGCAGTCACTGCGTCCAATGGTTAAATGGCTGGTTTAAAACCACAAAGGTTATCCCTGTGTTATTGTCTGTTTAATTTATAACATAATATTAAGATGAAAACACACCTTTGTTTATGCTTTTGTTCAAACTGTCAGCACGGCGTTTGACTGACCCTGAGACTCAATGTAGAAAATATGTAATTGATAATATAGGAAATATATTCATAAATGTAACCTTTGGGTGTTTCAGCAGGTAGTCCTGGCACATGGATAATACACGATCCGGCTGCTGCTTTCCCAGGGTCAACATGGACTTCCTGACCTGCTCCTGGACGTCTGCGTCTTTATCATTGGCAGCATCTAAGAGAGCCAGGGTCACTTCTGGAGGGAGAAGAACACAGAACAAATATGTGCAGCAATAATGGCTACGAAAACAAGAGAAGAGAAGAAAAGAAAAGAGGAGAGGACTTACGTTCCACATCTGTCCCATCCATGACGGACAGACCTCTGGTTGGCTCCTTGGAGCCGGTGTCTGTGGGTCAAGCTTTCCCTCTGGGGAACAGCAGTGCAAGAGGACTCTCAAACCTAAGATGAAAAACATTTCATGCGTTTGTAGAACACACAACAGAACGAAAGTCACACATTTTTAGACTGGTCAACTTCAAATGGTTATTTATTAGCCAACCTTGACCCTTGAATAATTAACTAATTGTTGCTGCTCAAAATCACTGAAACATGGGGAGAAACGGAGAGAAAAATGACAACAACAAAAACCAACACCTTCACCCTGGTTCGCTTTCACCTTTTGACAGGACGCTAAATATAATTTAGCAATACCTTAATGTAGCAATACATGATGTATTATTAATGTTGCTTTAAGCATTAGTTGACGTGATTAATTGGTGTACGGTGAATTTGTTCCTATTCACAAGATACAAGAATGTCGACATACAACACTTGTACTAATAAATACTTTTGACATTGGTCATGAGGACAAATATCTTGGTCCATTCAAATTATTACAGTATTTCTTCACTGAAACTGTGATCCATGTTTTTGAAAATCCATTAAAAAGCCATATTAACTGACTGCGCACGTGAATTAAATCTGTTGGTATAATATTTACCTTCAAACCTGCTCGGTTGTCGTTTCTGTTGCTGCAGCTAAACCTCAGCTGTCAGATGCGTTAGGATCCAAAGCTAACCACTGCTAAATGCTAAGGAAGTGTGGCGCTGACGCTGACATGCGTCACAGCTTAAAAGGCAACAACACAGACTTACGACCGGTGGGTAAGACTTCTCGAAATGCAACAGACCAGCTGTACTTTTGTCTGTGAGACAGTAGAAACCACTGTCGGTGACACAGCCCTGTGTCTCTGAATGCAGGTGTAAACACGTCTGGTCATGTGCTTGTAGTCAGCAGCCTGAGCGTGTTCAAGAAGGGGGCGTGGTCACGGGAAACCTAGCACTGTGAGACATAGAGCGGCTGTTCTACCGCGGTTACAGAAAAACTCGGCATTAATAGACCCGGTTAAACTTTTAGCCTTATATTTTTAATTAAATAATTGAAAAAAACAATATTGAATTGTTTTTATTAGTGTATAGCAACAATTTATTCATAAATAAATAAATGTATATATTTATTTTTAGCAACAATTTACCACCTGTAATACATTTTTAAAAATGATAAAATAAAAAAATAAATAATGAATGTGCAGATTATTGATTATTATAAAGATTATTGATGTTTAATTTTTCTAAAATAATGAATGTGCAGATAAAGATTATTGATGTTTAATTTTTCCAAACCTAAAATATTGGCACTCATTTTGCATTCAAGATAAATGTCATCAACAATTAAATTAAAAGTGAGCTTTTTAAATCTTTAACAGATTACAATAAATATCCCCAAATGTGTCCTTTCTTCTTGGCTTCCTGGGCCTTTGATTTCTGCTTATATCATTGTAATTGATATCTTATCTAAGATAAGATAAAGTGTTTAAATGCTTATTTAAAGTCGTTGTGGTCTTATTCTGTATCAGGAGTAGCTTTTGAGTTTTATTTCCTGTTTTCTCCTCAGTGTTTTCTTGACCTCATGATACCCAACAGACCACACAGTTTGGTTGTTTTTTTTAACTGATTATACAAAAAGAAAAAAGAAAAACACAGCAAATGTTTGCTTTGGGACAAAAAGGAGTTAACTCTCAGCCATTTCCTCAGGAAATCCAATGCTTATAGACAAACATGACCCCAGACTTCATCGCTCGGTCGCCAAATATACCATCTTTGTGATGTCTGTCGGAGAAATCGTCGGCAACACTGTCGGCTCACAATGTACAGACTTTGGCATGTACTGTCCTAAGCAGCGGCGACATATACTGTACTGTAGTCACTATATGCTGATTGGTTTGTCATGCTTATCTGACTGCTGCAGTAATATCACTGTACAATGTTATCTATCACAATTCCACAGTTTTGTGAGTTGGCTTTAAAAATCAAATTTCAAATTTACTTTTTTTTTTTTACCTTTTTATTTTAGACAAATCTACCTGTTAAAGGTACATGTCTGAGATGACATATATCTGTTTCTGTATCACTATGTTACGAAAGAGGTTTATGTTTCTCCTTGACTTGACAATCAATAGGGAGATTGAGATCAGTTCAAGTTGGCTATAATCCTGCATATTTACATTTAAATGTTCATTATTATGAATTGTCTTTTTTTTATGTTTAAATTGAATTTTAAATTGAGCTGAGGGGCATATTGTAATTCTACATTTACCAGCTTTCTGATTATACTGTATTTTGTATTCTGATTATGAGAACTAGATAAAATATTTCATATATTCAACATCAGAGGAAGACCACACGCAGGCATGCGATTTCTTTAAAATGTTTTAATCAATCAACCAGTGTATACACAATAATATACAGTGAATAGAAAATGATAATACGGCCATGTAACTCAAACACAGACAGAGTGTAACAAACCAACAAAAAGAAAATAGCTGCATTTTAATTGACATTTTAACTTTGCAGGATTCATTTGTGTAATTGCTGTTAAAGATAATTATAGATCACATCATAAAAAACCTTCACGGTGCATTTTTGACTATTATTATAGGTACAGTAAAAATATTCTCCTTATTATGAAAAAATGCTACTTAAAACCTCAGTGTTAGCTGCTACCAAAAAAAAAATAAAATCATAAAAAAGTGCTAAACAGTGGAGCTGTCTTCCAATATGGCTCTAAATCCAAAGCCTCTCGTCA